CAGGCGTCATAGGTACTTTTGATATGAAATTCTTATATATATTTGCTATACAGGTATTTACACCTCGATAGGGTCCCTTTTTCGGAGCTCCAGGTCTGGGATAGGGCATCATTTTTTGCCCATTTGTCTGGGTTAGTCATTGTCTGGGGTAGGGTGGAATTTTGCCTGTGATCCTATTTGCTAGGCCACGCTTCCAATGCTAAAATAATGTACCTTTTGTCTGTAAATCACAAAAAATGGTCATTGCGTAAGGGTTTTGAGGGTCAAGGGGCACACCCCCACCCAAGTTGAGGAGGGAGTACAGGGTTAAGGAGGCGATGGCCATTGTCTTGTCCATTCAAGTACTAATTTCACATAAACATAAGTACCTTAATCAATAAAGGTGCTTTGTAAGACCAAGCCTATCGTTTGCTTGTTGTTTTTGTATGTTTCTTTGTTTTGAGAAAAATAGTAGGTGAGGGGTGTGAATTAAGTTTGAACTGGAAATGTTGGGTTTCCTGTGTTCAAGATGGCAGCAAAATGGCTGAATATTCACGGCATAAAAATCATTATTAACGCTGTTGACAAGTTCTTCATAAGTTGAAACGGATCTAGATTGGTATAACAATGTGCCATTGTCAATCTGACGTCGTTGAGATACGCAACTGATGAACTGCAGTGTATTTTTTTTCCGATAAGACAAGCAAACTTACTCAAAATTACAGTCAAAAGCCCCTCACCTTATCAATTGAGTTAATATGAATATTATTTTGGTAAATTGGAGTGTTTCCTTAGTTTCCAAGGTTCTTCGATTTCGACATAATTATATAACTTAGTTTAAATCAACAATTTCCTTCGTTTAGCGAGTCTCGCCAAAAATATAAAATGGTCTTTGGTTTTAGTATTCAAGACCGTGCTTCAACAAATCGATGCAACGGCTAACATCTTGTGTTTTTAGCWGATAACAGTATGAATTTAACGCCTAAATACATAAAAAATCGGGTATCTTCGTATTTAGTTGGCCTTAGGCCTTCGCTTAACGTAAATTAAGTTTAAGCTTAAGTATGTAAGCTTATGTCGGCAACAAAAATTCACAGACGCAAGTTGCTTTAGGATCTCCGTCCCGATTGACCTCTGATATGAGTGCATGGCTAAATAATAGATAATTTAAAACAATGACATAAAGCTTACTTCCATTAAGTTATCTTCTTCTTCCCTCTTTCGCTTCCCTTTGAAGAAATTCATGATTCATTCATAAGACATCCAAAGGACAACACTATCATGTGCATGCGAGGCGAGTCTAATTTTGCCGCCTGAAACCCGGGACACCGATTCACCAATCAGCAACAGCTTAGTATATGTTGCAATACTAACCAATCACATATTCTCTTCGACTCAATATCTGGATTATCACGTGGTTTCTAAGCTCGTGTGTTTTCTTCCATAAAAAATCAGAAGCGGTCGTCGATGTGTGTGTATTTGAATTGCGAGAGAAATTTGGCTGTTTTTATAAGGTAGGTAGTCTTTCTTGGTTGGTATTGTAACATGTTTGATGAACATTTAACTATTACTGAAGTAATTTACTATGTTATCTAGAATAACGTAAGCGCTTCCTTCGACGAAGGATTGATGTCCGAAACGTCAGAGTTAAGTTATTTCACCTACGGTGTTAAATTTATCTTTTTACAAAGCTGCTCCAATKCAGGGCCGTAACCAAGACTTCTACCGAGGGGTGCACATCTGATAAATCCGGATCATTATTGGCATTTTTTATTTGTAGTGGTTAACATTTCCATAGTCGGATTTTTTTTCAAATCCCATGAAATACACAACAGCCTTATAAGCTTAACACTTATTGTTCTTTGAATTACTGTTTTTGATTGTCTTTATTATTTGTAATCCCTTACGAAACTTTAAGGGTGCACTCAGCGTGAATCGAGCGTGATTCAGCTAGCCATACAGTGCCTTACAGTGCCATAAGAAGAGCGAGACAGGAGTGTAGCTATTTGTCGAGGATAGAGAGTCGAGKGTAGAATGTCGAGAGTCGAGGGTAAAAAGTCGAGAGTCGAGGATAAAAAGTCGAAATATATAATATACAAAATATACTGTTTGCGGATTGTTATCTAACAACAAACTTAACATTCCATTTCACCTCTGAAGTCTGTCTACGGTTTGCGTTATATCGGTTTAACTGTGATTTCCAAAATCAACCAAATAGACAGAACAGACCTTCTTTTATTATTGTTAGCCTTACTTTACGGATTACCCTGTACTCAGTGCTCGTCGGGAGATAATTACTGACTTTGCTCATGGTCCTTTRCTTTTACAACGATATCTAATTAGGTCAGAAACATTAGCCGTTGCCACAAACCGTATAACATTCAAACTATTTATTTGATCTAAACCTGCATACAACTTACTTATTGCTCCTTCAACCCAAATTCAATCATACTACTATCAACAATGTTCTCACTTTGCGGCGGGTATCAATAATCTTGAAAACTTGTCAATAAACTCGAACTGTGTAATCGGTTAGCACGAACTTATTTGAACATTACCTATAAAGCTGGTAGCTGTGATCGGCATGGACGTTTTTCATGCAATACTAATGGAAATGATAACATAATACTACGAATCGCTAATGTACTACTAATCAGATAATCACTATTTACGCGACGGTATTGCGTGACATATTTTTGAGCGTCAATAACTCAA